TTGGCTAGTCAGCACACAGATCGTGCAGTTCTATTATTGCTGATGCTCTTTCATGGTGGTGATGATAGTATCAGGACATGCTAGGCAAGTGCTCTGCCACCAAACTAAATCCCAGCTTCTTGGAGGTTTCTTCAACCAGAGCAGTGTCTACCACAAAGTGCTCTATACTATGTTTAAATAAACACCTTGTACCCCCAAGGTATTGTGTGTGTAACAGTGGCATTTCAGATCTCAGAGGGAAGGTGACAGATGTGGTGGAGGGGAGGAACCTTAGTCACCGCCAGCAGGTGGTGTTGGCGACACTGGGAAGTCCATAGGTGGACTGGAGGCATATTGTTGAACTTGAGCATTGTAATAATTGAATGAAGAGCTAATGGGTCAATTTAGTTCTGTTACATGTAAATGCCAAGAAAATAGGAACTAATATGGAAAGCAGAATTATAAATATCATTGTGGCTTTTTTAGAAAATATAGTCAGCCAGAACTGTAATTGGAAAAGGTGAGGGAGTTAATAATTGTATACTTGGGTATTTTTGTTGTTTTGTTTTGTTTTGTCTTTTTTTTTTTTTTTTTTTTTTTGAGCTAGGCTCTTTCTATCTAGCCCTGGCTGTCCTGGAACTCGCTATGTAGACCAGGCTGGCCTTGAACTCACAGAAATTAACCTGTCTCTGCCTCCTGAGTGCTGGGATTAAAGGCATGCGATAGCACATTGGGCAGCTTGGCTTACTTTTGGATCTTTTCTAGTACCTGTTCACTCTTTTTTATTCTCTTTTATTAAAAAAAAAAATCCTGAAGTGGCAGTGCACACCTTTAATCCTAGCACTTGGAAGGCAAGGCGGGGTGGGGGGGAGCATTTCTCTGAGTTTGAGATCAGCCTGGTCTACATAGAGAGTTTGAGGCCAGCTGGGGCTAAGTACTGCAACCCTATCACACACACAAAAAAAAGAGAAAGGGAGGGAGGGAGGGACTGGAGAGAGAGAGAGAGAGAGAGAGAGAGAGAGAGAGAGAGAAGAAAGCAAGTGTGGGCATGGTGAGCTCATAGATCACAGCTGCTGTAGGTAACTCGAAGAACGAAGGTAGATGTTCCTACTCTTACAGTATTTGTTCCTTTTAAAAGTTAGCTTTTTTGAACTAAATTTAAGTGCACTAAAAGTTAAATTTTCTTGAGACAGGGACTCACAACATAGTCCAAACTGGGCACAACCATTTCAATGCTGGAGTCGTAGCCTTGAGCTGACAGAATGGCAGAAGTCGCAAACAGTAGGTGTGTAGTCCACCGTGTTGTAAGAAGTGCATAAAGTGTCTGAGCTGTCACAGCTGTGACACAGAACCTTTCCTGTCAGCCCCAAATTTCGCTCATATCTGTCCCCTGTCAGCGGGACCTGGAACAATGAATGATCTTTTGTTGCCTGGGGTTACTAATCTAGATTGCTAAGTACACAAGATTATAAATGTGGTTTTGGTGTCCTGTTCCTCTAAGCATACTACTTTTAGGGTTCGTCCAGGTGTTGTGTGTACCGTAGCTTCTCCCATTCTTGCTGCGGCTCTAGGTTCTCTCTACCTAGGCTATCCCACACACTTGATTCATATAGCAGGTAATAGGTTGTTACCTGTTGGTTGTTTCCAGTTTTTAGCCAGTGTGAATGATTACTAAGAAAGTCTTTAACATTATTACTTGTGTTCTGCTTCACATGATGGGGATATGTACCAGCTTTGTTAAGTGTAACTGAGAGAACCATCGAGAGAAAACCTACTGGGGCGGGGGGTGTTGCTGGTTGAGCTGTCCTCATGATGTGATCAAGCCACTCGGCAGTTTGGTTTCTCAGCTTTCTACACCTTGGTAGCCTTCCTCCTTATACCCTTTTCTCATGGAGTAGTTATTATGCCATCAACCATGTTCGTCCAGTTTGAAATCCTTCTGGAGTCAAGGCCCACTAAGCCTTGTTTATTTTCACTAAATACAATGCCTCTTATAATGTCTTCCACAAATATAATGATAAATACTTAGTGTCTCATTTGAATTCTTCAGTCTTTTCCTTGGATATCTGAGTGGTTTTTATTAATTCTTTAGGTCCACTATTACATTATCTCTAGAGTGTTATAAACTATGTTTCCTTGAGCAAAGATAGTTTTATTCCTACCTATGCATTAAAATCATTCACTATGTAACTTATGAGTGGATTTCAAATTGTTTATGGCCCTCAGGGTTTTTTAAAACGTGGATTGTGTTTATGTTGTTGTTCGGCTTTAAAATGAGAAGGTTACATGAAAGAAAATGAGATTTCCTTTCATGTCTGACATTCCAAGATTTCATGAAAAGCTGACCTCATCAGAAAGGACTTCTGCAGGGAGAGGGCAGCAGAGAGGGATGGCAAAGTGGGAAGGGGGTAGGAAAACAGCAGTGTACCACACTTCATGCCATGGCAAATAGCATACTCTCCTCTCAGGAGAGTATCGGTTGTGGCGAGAGGTCTTTTGCACAGCTTTATGAAAAGAACTCAGCCCGTAGTCCTTTCTCTAGTCAGTTCAGACCGTCATGTGCTGGGCTGGCAGCTTCTCACTGCTGGGGTTTGCCATTGTTTATGTTGGGAACCGTTAGTCCATGTTTGCATCATACAATCTCAGTTCTGTTTCTGGCATTGTGAATAATGCCCCCTTTCCCTTCTCAGATACATGTCCAGCAGAGAGTCTTGTAGCCATCTCATTTCCATGCTCCCAGCCTCTGTCTTGGATTCTAGCTAGTGCTCAGACTCGGACATGGCTACTTACTGAGAGAATGCAGAAGACTCTAAAGTCAGCGGCATGACTACTGAGGTTAACCTAGTTGAGCACTCTGTTCTGACAAGTCCAAGAAAGTCTTGCCTGCTTACAGAGGACTCCAGTTTCACCTGAAGACTTATCCGTCTTTTGCGTTCCTCTTCCCTTCAATACTCCTCCACCCGCAGCCCCACAACTTAGGCAGGGCATATGAAAAACCAGTCATTTAATATGCACTGCCCATTTTCCATGTGCTGAGCACTGAACTGGGCTTAGGGTAAAGAAAGTTAAAGATTACAAAGGAGAAGACGTGTAAATCAACAGCAAACGCGTGATATCACTATAGGATGGCCATAGCACATCTAAGGGCATCCAGGGCTGAGTAGTTGGTTTAGGAGAGACAGGAGAAAGAAGGGCAGGATTTTGAGGTTTGCGCAAGAGGGCTAGTGTGCATCATGGAGGGGGTTGGGTGGGTGGACCAGGGCATTCCAAGAAGAGGAAGAAACATGTGCAATGATCCTTAGCCAGAAAATACGTGGTGTGAAGGGGGAGGCAAAAGTAGCCTCGTCTGACTATCCATTTGTTGCGATATACTAGTTTGGAACTGAGTGTGAGACAAGACCTTGGACCACATCCAGGGGGGTGTTGTTGTTAGAAGTACCAGAAGGGACCTTATTTCACATTTAGCATGGACCCCTGATGATTCCATTTGAGTGAGGTGTGGGTGTATTTTCATTCTGGGGCTTTACACTACAACATTACCACATGCATTGACCAATCTCAGTACAGGCTTTCCTTATGTTGCCGTATAATTAGAAGCCAGTGAACTGAAGTTCCACAGCGGTACATAGACTGGTAGTGATAGCTTTATGGAATTGTTTATTTTTAGTTTGGCAAAGGCTAGGCAGTAAATATCTCAATTAGTAAACTAAAGCAGCATGGATGAGAAATGCCCACAAGGAGATCAGGAGTTTGAAATAACTGAGTCACTTAATTGAAGGAAACCCTTGTGTTGCTTCTCATAGAGCTTGAAGAACCCACCCAGCAAGGGTTTCAAATGTTATTTGCAACATACGTACAATGTTGGTGCGACAAGAGTCTTGCCCTTGCTCAGGCTCAACTTGTTTAGGAAGTTCCTCTCTGGATGGATGCAGCTGAGGAGGTAGAGTACCCAACATGCACCAAATCCTGGGGTCAGTGCCCAGACCTCCCAAAGCCGGGAACAATGGTGCGTGTGTATGATCCAGCACTCAGGAGGGAGAAGCAGGAGCATCATCAATCCAAGGTATTCCTCAGCTACATAGCAAGTTGGAAGCCACCCTGCCTACATGAGACCAGGCTCAACAAAACAAAACAACCAAAGGAAGTTCTCTTTTAAGGAGAGCCACTGATAGGGTGCTGTCTTCAGCCTTTAATCCTGTCAGCACGACCCAAAAGGATGTTTTCTTATGAAGTGATGAGGGAGGTAGTTCACGTTCACCTTCCTGTCCCATTCGCAGAGTGCAGCCTGATGTACTTAATGAAAGCAGGCATGTGATGCTGGCCTCTCCTCTCCGGTCTCCTCCAGTGTATTTGAAGCTATATCTTGCATCTTGGAAGAAAACCAGAAGTAGTCCACAAGGCTTAGTTTTAAAATAAATTTTGCTTAAACTAGGAACTAAGTCATGTTCTTCCTAGAATTTCACAATCTTAGGAAATAGTGACCGTTCAGAAGATGAAAGATTAATGATAGTACAAGACAGAAAGAATAGAACAACAGCAACAGCAACAGCAGAAAAGTGTGTGTGTGCTGTGAAGATGCAAAGCACAAGGCTGGCAAGACGGCTGAGCAGGCAGAAGTGCTTGGAAGGGAAAAGCCTAAGGGCCTGAGTCCAGACCGCAGGGCCCACATGCCTAAAGGAGAAAAGCAGAGAACCCACTCCCACTAGGTGTTCACAGACCTTCACACCTGCACACACACACACAAATAAAAATAACCAGGTTCCAAACTACAAGTGTTTAGCTGTTATGATTTTGTTTTAATTTTTAAAGCTTCACCCTTTGGTCTGTCTGGACTTCCGGCACATGTGTTCCACTGGATAGTCCTTCGGATTCTCTCTCTTCAGCAGAGTGGAGAGAGACTGCAGGAAGACTCGCCTGTGCTGCTTTACTTTACTCCCTGTCTGATGTCTGTGGTCTGTGGGGAAACGATGGAGGTCTGTGCACCTGCAGGTTACGTCTCTGCCTGTCTCTCTGTTTTGCAGACTGGAAAAAGATAGCATTCAGCAAAGCTTTAGCAACGAAGCAAAGACCCGAGCCCGTCAGGCCCAGCAGAGAGAGCAGGAGCTGACACAGAAGATACAGCAAATGGAGGCCCAGCACGACAAAACTGGTGGGTGGTAGGGAGAGATTAGAGCCTGGGCACTTGCTCACAAGCCAGGCCCACGCCTTACTGTGAAATGACATCAGGAACACCTGTAACCTTTGGCTGGCCGAAGGGAGCAGATGCTAACTACACCGGAGATTCCGAATTACATATTAGTTAGCGTTTAAAAGAGAAAATGGAAAGTATTGCCCACTGTCTGTTGATTTCAGAGTGCTGCTCTCACATCTGTTGCACCATCTGGATTATGAGTTTATTTACCTGTGTTCAAGAAACGTAAAGCTGAGAGAGACCACAACAAAGTAGAAAAACAAAGGGCTTGTTTTTGGCTGGGTTTTCAGGCACACATGTTATATAAAGAAAATAGCATCAGAAGCTCTGCGGGAAATGCTCTGAGCTTACAGTTAGAGTCTCCTGAATAGCACTGAACAGTTCCCACAGTACACACATTATAGCTACTCTAAAGCCTAATGAGTTTGCCTCAGCATCCAAACTGGAGAAAAGCTTTAGCCATTAATCGGTTCTTAATTCACTGTCGCAGCTGGATGTAATTCAGCAGCTCCAAATTGATATGTTCCTTTATTTAATCTTTGCAGCTTCGAACATTTTTAGCATTTGTATGATTTCCCCACCTCCCCCAATGCAGTCGAGAGTGATGCTTAATCCTCTGCATTCTTCAGCTTCTCACAACTGCTGTTAAAATTCGCTAATACAAGGCATGGACCACAGCTGGCAGCTTGGCTAAAAATCGCCATCTTTCATCACATTGGCACTGTTCTGCAGACTGAGTTGGCCAGTAACTCTTTACCTTTAATTTGAAAGTAAAATGCACTTTGAAAATAGGCAGTTTGATGGGTGCAGTCAGAGCGTTATGTAGTTCCTTTCGCTTTTGAGTTGTGTGTTCACAGACAGTGTTAGTCAAAACAAGACAGTGTCAGTCATTATAATTCCACACCACATACTCCACGCTGATTGTACCATTAAAACAAAAGTTTAATTGATCCTGTCTCTTCCAGAAAAAAATGTTGCTTAATTTTAGTGCCTTGATTTATTTTGCTTTGTATGCTATATGCTTTTTTTCGCGACCATTAGCTTAAGTTGAAAAGGAAAAAAATACAGATGAATTTCACAGGATTTAATGCATATTATATTTAATGGGATGGTAAAAAATGATTCCACCTATTGGTAACAAATGGATATTCTGTTCATTAATGATTTATTTTACTTATTAAATGATTTATTTACTTATAAAGGCAGCTACCATGCTGCCTCACATAGTTTCTTCTCAGCATTTAGCCAGAAGAAAGGAAAATCCTCAAGATTTTATAGATTTTTTTTTTTTTTTTTTACTAAAACACAAAGAGGAATTCATAGGAGAAATTGTCGTTTGGCCACAGCAGAACCGTCCTGGTCCAAGAGTCTTGGGCAGAATCTGAGGGTTGGGTAAGGCTTTAACGGTTAAAATCATCTTTAAAATCTTTTATTTTGCAAATAAATACAAGTCATATTCTCTTGAGTCCCTAGCCAGAGCTTTAGTGAAACACATACTATTTAAGTATGATCTGGTTTTAGGGCAATTGTGTAGTTTCACCTCATAACTGGAGAATATGCAGGCTCCAAGGGGTAAAATATGAGATAAGAACTGTCGAGCGTCAACTACAGTGTAACAGAGAATTCCTCGGTTTGAGTTTCGAATTATCTGGTTGTGAGAATTTTTGACACTGTTTATAGTAAAATTGTCAAAATAAAAATATAATATCTTGCATACTTCAAAGATATAAGCATTTATGACTTCATTTGAGATATTTGACAGTTTATGAGCATGCTAAAATGTTACACAAGCTGATATGATCAAAATTATTCCGGGTATACAAATATATTATGAAAACAAATGCCTCACAAGAGTCAGTGTCCCCCCAGATGGTAAGTCCTTGCACTCAGGACCCTGGCAGTGGTCTGGTGGCGCTAGGCAGGACGCAGTGTTCTGAAGCACTTAGCACTCACTGTGCATTGGAAGCCTGCAGAGCAAAGCCATAAACATCTTATATTGGTGGGGTTATTGTTATTTCTAGAAAATGAACAGTATTCGTTGCTGACCTCCCAGAATACATTTCTGACAAAGTTAAAGGAAGAATGCTGCACATTAGCCAAGAAGCTGGAGAAAATCTCACAAAAAAGCAGGTAGGTGATTGGGCAATATTATAGAATATTCTCAGAATACTGTTTATTTGATAGCTAAAATTTAGTCTTAAAATTGCATTTTATACACTGTAATCTAACTTTAAAATTAGTCATCTGTTTATGTAAGTTTTCTGTGAAAACAGGTTTCTATATAATATTTTTGTGATTGTCCATGTAGACAACCTTTCAGTCCCAAGGATGGACTCCAGGGCCTTGTGCACAGTAACCAAGCACTCTTCACCTAGCTCTACCCGCTCCCCAACTTCGATTTTTTTTTTCATGGTTATGTATACTTACTTACATGGCTTTTATAATGTTTAGACTTTAAAACCATGAAAGTTCAGGAACAAAGGCCAAAATAACCATTACCATAATAAAGAATACAAATAGGTCAAGCAGTTTTACAATCTTATGTCGATATTGGTAATGCATTTTAATCTATTTCCACAGTTCTTTGGGAACACAGAAGCTGTCTTTAATGCTAGTCATTCCGGACATTGAGGAGGCAAAGTGCTTGGAATAACACATACTTAACTTCACCACAGCACATGACAGTAATTAGCTTCTTTTACAGATTGAAAAAAAAAACATAATTGTTTGAATAGCTTGTGGGTGGGAGTTTTTGCCTATGTATTCCTGTTACCAATGTCTAGAGTCTTAAGTCTGTGATGATATTTATACATGCTATTAAAGAAAGTTCAGACTTGCTGGATATAGTTACTTGACTTGCAGTCTCAACTCAGCAGGCTAAGGCAGGGGGATTTCTTGAGCCTAGGAGTTCTAGGCCAGCCTAGGCATCATAGCAAGAGTCTGCCTCTTAAAAGAGAAGGAAGGAAGTGAGAGGATTGCTCAGTGGCAGTATTACTTGTTGGAAAGGCTAAGAAGGAAAAAATTAACCTTTCAGTCCCTGAGGCAAGTCGACATTTTTGGGATGTAATAGTTAAACTGAGAGCCAGAGCTCACCGTACTAGGCCCTGAGCTCTGGTTTTCCTACTTTAAGTCAGTCAGTCATACCCGGGACAAGCCTAGTGAGCCTGAACCTCAGCACCTCTCACCCGACTGCTGCTTTGTGCACTGATCATGTTCCTTCATATCCGACACATAGATGGCACCCAATGCATATTTATTGAATGAATGATAAGTGAATAGAAAAAACAGGTGTGCTGCTCCCCTCCACATGCTGGTCTATTCTGGTGCCAGCCTGTTCCTTTGTGGGTGACAGGCAGTCTCAGGAAGGAGCTCTTTCGATTCAGGAGGAACTGGACTTGAATCCTGCTTGTCACTCACTCTGCTGTGTCTGTCTGTAATCTTGACTACGGGGCCCCGTCTCCCTGTACCTCAGCTTTGTCAGCTGTGAAAGTACTTCTCCAGCCATGGCACAGGGTGGCTGTGGGATTTAAAAGGACATTTAATGACAGGATGACAAGCACCCATACTGTGTACTGTCACACCCCTCGACAAACAAGGTGTTGGTTGCCGGACTGACACCATACCAAAATCCACAGATGACAGATGCTCATGTTCTTAACATAAAACGATGTGGTAGGTACATGGAACCTGCCTGTATTCTCCCACATATTTTATTTTTTATGTTATTTCCTATTTTTGTGGTTTTAGAAATGGAACCCAGGGCCTAACACATGCTAAGCCAGTAGTCCAGCACAAAACAACACTTTAACCCGTCTCCCATATATTTGAAATTACCTCTAGATTACCTATAGTGTCTAATACAATGCAAACACTATGTGATTAGTTGTTAAACTGTACTGGGTACAAAATAACCACAGGACTGTGCGCCTGCCCAGTACGGACCCAGCGTTTCCCTCTGTGGTTGGCTGAGCTGCGGGAGAACCCACAGCTGGGGAAGGCAGCTGGAAGACCCAGCACGGTGCCTGCCCACCCCGTAGTAAGGGACAGGGGCTGCTCTCGCAGCACACGCTCCATAACTGGGCAAGATCTGAGCAAGATTTTCTAATGGCCAAAGTCTGTTTTGCGATGAAAATATCTGTGGGCCAAACAGAACCAAACCGGAAACACCGGAGCTCATGACTTTGTGGGGCAGGCTCTGACACCAGATTCTGCGTCTGAACCCGTGAATTCGTTCAAAGCCAAGGCCTTACAAGTGGTGACCATCAATCAATTGTTCTATTTTGATACTTTTTATTCTGTTTCACAAAACAATATTTGAAATAAGTTGTGTTTTTAAGGTTGTGTGTGTTTTCTTGTCAGCCCCACCTGATTTCTCCCCCGATTTCCAAGGAATTAAGACATTTTCACCCTTTCTTTTATGCCCCATTTGACATTCCATTTTGATATTACCTTCTGCTGTGAAACCAGCTATAAAGCCCAAAAAACTCAGAATGTTTCTTTTGAAATAAGAATAATAATGTAATAAGACTTATCACTTCAGGGCATGCATCTATGCGCTCTATGCCAAACTTTTGGATAAAGAACTTCTGCTGGCCTCTGAAGTGAGGGCTTCTTAGCTTCTAAAGTTCTCTCACTATAGAAACTCAGTCTCCAGAATAATTGTTTAATCCATGTAGTCATTTCAGTTCCGGTTTTTCTCAAAGTACTATAGGAAAAATTTTAATGAAAATAAAACATGATTTTTTTTTATTATAAATAAAAAATATTTCCCCCTTTCCTTGCTAAAATTTCGGTAAGCATTTTGTGTTATTCAGAATGCCACTCTAAACAAATGAACTCAGCATCGAAAATACACTTTCTCACTTATGGATCTAGGCATTTGACTAGAGCCCATCACTAGAGAAGCTGACAGTCTGGGCTCTCCAGGCCCACACATCCTGCTTCTCTGCCCAGTCTCCTGCAAGGCTGCTTTCAGAAAATGTACTGAAATTCCGTGTGTGTGTGTGTGTGTGTGTGTGTGTGTGTGTGTGTGTGTGTCTGCTGTGTGTGTGTGTGTGTGTGTGTGTGTGTGTGTGTGTGTGTTGTGATGCATTTTCTCCCAGAGTAAACTGTACGTCGCATTATGACAGTGACGACTGCATCTGTCTCGGGAGCCTCCGTGGCCATCGCAGTGTGGTACTCCACACAGTGCATATAGTGGTGCCTGAGACCGCAAGCGTTGTGAGTGGCACGCCCCGTTTAAAATGAGGACTGAAATCCTGGTTCATACTTTACATCTTTTATAGTTTGTTTTTGATCACGAGGCAAGAGGATTGATTCCCTTTTGTTTTTAATTGACACTAGGCAGACATTCTGGCTGGTTTTAGTTGAAGTGTAAACTTTAGCGACCCCTTCCCTCTGTATCCTCTAGTACATTGAGAACTTACATAATTATGAGGTTGTTGAGGGAGGTAAATAAATAGACTTAAATATCTTTCATGCAATTTATTTTTCTTTATCAAAGTGAAGTAAGTATTCTCTCTCCCTAGACATTTGGAAAAAATCCACATTAAAATGTGCGGTTTGCATTATGGTTGAAAACCTGGTCTGGGAAGCCCTAGGAAATGCTGGGCACTGGCTGCAGATGAGCCTGTGGCCAGGCTGACAGAGCCCTTACATGGTGGGGATGAAGCACACTTTGTCCAGGTCTCAGTCTCTCTCTCCTTGCACGCTGGGAGGATAGGAATGAGCACAGAGCTGGGTCTGTGTGGTTTTGCCTCCCTCAGTTGCCTGTCGCTGTCACTTGCTGGGTTGCTAGGCCGTGGATTGATGTCTAGCACTGCCCATTGTGTATTTGTGATTTGCGTTTTGTAATTAAGAGGAACAATGGGAGTCCATGGGGTCTCGTTATATATAATGGTTGGTTTAATTTGTTTCACTTCTATCTTGTTAATTGTAAATTGATCATTAAGATTTGAATTCTAATCTGTCACCAGGGTTGTGAGTATTGAGGCTAGAGTAATGATCCTGGTTTTAATCACTGATGATGAGAAACAAATTTTATAATTTTGGTACATATTGCAGTTCATATATTTTAACACTGTATTTTATGGTGTTATAAATATTGTTAAATGACTTTTAGTGTAGTTTTACTATGTGGACTATAATGTATAAATTATATTACTGTTTTGGCAGCAGTAGGTATCCAACTGTGTGAGTTTAATTGAAGTAAAAGAACACGCACCCGGTTGAACTATTTTTTCTCTTTGCATGTTTAGATGATGTGAGGTTGGGCTGCTACAAAAATTATATTCTACAAAAGGAGATTGACATTGACCTTCTTTTTGTTAATTGTTACCAAAAGTCAAATCAGAATCCAAAAGAATAAAAAAATTAAGGTGTCATATTTTTCCTTTAAAAGCAATTATCATTATAATCTGAATTATAGTAGTAAAATGTCTTCCATTCATGCAAATGCAATTACACGCTATAGCTGCTACATAAAATGCAGGGGAAGTTCATGTTTCTGAAAAGCCAGAAATTACCTACATTTCTATGAAAATAAATTAGAGTCGTTTTTCCTTTTATATGGGAGTAGGGTAGATATGGTTTTCTGTTTGCTTTTGTCACTTTGCAGACCACTGGTTGTATTACTATATTGTCAGCACTACCCAAATAAAGAATGATATATGTACACATAGAGCGAAGCTGTATTGTGTGACAGAAGCTGGTGGGCAAGTTGCCATTATAAATAAAGGGGGAAAATCCCAAAGTATATAAGGCAGGAAAGATAGTTGCAATAGCATATATTACAGTAGTCTATACTTTAAAAATAACATTTATGTTCCTATGCTTACTGAAGACATCTCACTGTAGGAAATCATAAAGAAAAATTAAGGAAACATTTTCCTGTGACATTGCTATCTCAAGAAAATCACTGCTATTTTTTATATGCTTCTTGTCAGTCATTTTTCATGTGTATGTAAATGTGTCCTGTACAACAGCTTCTATCATGATAGGTTCATGCAGTCTATGCAGTTTTACACCTGCTTTCTACCTGTCTCCTTAATGAACACGTTTCTCTGTCAGTGAATACTCCAGAAACAAGATTGTAATCAATCACTTGTTTGTGTTCATTCGATATTTATGACATTTCCAACTTTTAACTACTGTAGTAATAATAGAACTATAACTTTGTACACAAATTTTGATGATTCTTTTAAAAGGGAATTGTTACTTCAAAAGCCAGACACACTCTTCAAGGCTGCTAATGTGTATTATTTTGCTTAGGTGTTGAATTAAATTCTTCTCAGTACATATGTCCCTATATAAATATGTGACAGCAAAAAGTAAAAGGTTCAAAGAAAAAGGGATGACCATGAGCATTGCACCATGGGTAGAACTGTCCCTTCAGAGCTGGACACGTAGAATAAGAGACCCACACACAGAACTGGCCATTGCTAGCCTTAGACAACTCATTCAACTGCATTTCCCTCACAGAGAAAGGAAATTCACAACTACTTCCTAGGGTATTTGAGATCATCAAAAGATGGATTTGGTACAGAGTAGGGATGAAATAAATATTTGACAGTAATATCAAATATTATTATGCATTTGTTCAAATGGTAATAAAATTGACCATTTTATAAACATCATTTCATGTTCTGCCTTCTAGGGAAATTTTGCATATTTCTTCTATTTTTCAGAACAGAAAATTTGTTGGTTACAGCACTTTAATGTGTCATCTGTCTGATTTTCATGAATATTTTTGTACTGTTTTGTTTTTTAATTAATAAACTTTTTAAGGGCAGTTTAGGTTCACTAGTAAAGTCAAGCAGTAAGTACAGTCCTGATGTGCAGCTCCTCACCAGGAGCCTTCCCTCCCCGCCCCACCCCATCAGTCCCGACTTCATCAACAGCCCTGACCTTCTCAAAACGTCCCCCTTGTTCCTGTTCATCTTTCATTTTGCTGTTAAAAATTGCTTTCAAAATAACTTTTAAAATACGAGTCCATTGTAAAACTTGATAAAATAAAAATATAGACAAACAAAAGGGAAAACATTCTGCCATCCAGAAATTATCAGTATTAATATTTCGTGCATGCCTAAATAACTTAGTTGTAAAGTAGAATTGCATTATGCATGCTGATTTTAATGTTTCTCCTTTCTCATCAAAATATTACATTTTAGGTCAATTAATAACTTCTATCATATAAGCAAGATAGCCAATGCCCTGTTGGTAGAATTCTTGATCAAATTTCCATGTATTCTTTTTAGACAAAGATTCTCTCTATAAGGAGTACTGCGATGATTATAAACATAAACATATGGCTTTTCAAATATATGATTTTTTTATATGTGAACATTTTATATTTTGATATTGTCTATTTTTCTTTGTTCTTTTCTTTGAAAATGGTACCTCTTTTCTTGGAAGCAGCCTGAGGCTAGGTGTGGGTTCCTTTCCATGGACTTTATTTTATTTAATTAATTAATTTATTTATTTATTTTTGTTTGGTTGGTTTTTGAGACAGGGTTTTTCTATGTAGTTTTGGTGCCTGTCCTGGATCTTGCTTTGTAGACCAGGCTGGCCTCAAACTCACAGAGATCTGCCCGGCTCTGCCTCCCAGAGTGCTGGGATTAAAGGCGTGCACCACCGCCACCACCACCATCGGGCCATGGATTTTATTATTTTCCTAATCTGGTTTAAGGACTTTTTTCCTTTTGGAATTTATTTCAATATATGACAGGAGATGCTAGTTTGGGAAGAAATACTAAATTCAAATATTATTATAGCTTCTAGATTACTTTTTGTATTGTGTGTGATTTTGAATGGATAGACATGAGTCATTTATTCGGGGATGTGGACTAGTTCAATCAATGAGGGTGTACTCATAGCAGGATAGGCAAATGCAGAGAGAGTACCTGAGCTGAGCTTAAAAAGGAGCTGAGCCGTATTCTGTCTTATCTGGAAACCGGTGAGAACGGTGAGGCATAGAACACAGTTGAGAAAGGGAACTCTGAGGAAATGTCTGGGTGAACAGAGGTGGTTTCACAGCCATGCAGAGTTGTGCAAAGTGAAGGTGCTGGTCTGAGCAGGCTCCCTGCAGTGTGCAGCAAAGATAACAGCAAAGGGAGGGTGGGCTGAACTGGCATTGCTCCTCCCCTGCCAGCATCGTGGACTTTGGGATGAACAGTTTGTGGGGTAAGATTTCCCCTAGCAAATCCAAAGTCTTCCTAACTAGAGCAAAAGGCACCCTTGCATAATAAAGCAGTCCTTTCTGGGGAGGGAACTAACTTCATGTCAAAAGTGTTTTTGATTAACTTAAAAATGACTTACAATGTAGAGAAATTTAACTGTGGCTTCGACCTGATGAGACCGTAGGCATGAGGAGATGGTGTCAATGCTGGCGATTTGGTTTTTTAAAAAGGACACAGCTTTCCTTGGATATCTCCCTGATCTGCAAATGTTTAAGAGTTGGGATTGTCATCTAAGACACTGAAGATGTAGTTTATGTCCTGAAAGACATCAGCTGTCACCATGGAGACCCCTGGGGATGTGGGTCTGAGTGCAGGTCATCCTCCACTCCTGTTACAGCCCTGACTGTGTGCGGTCTAGGAGCAGGGTGGAGAAGGAGTGGAGACAGTGCTTTTCAGAATATAGACTTCTGGGGTAGGCCAGTCCCCGTTGTAACTAGAGCTCGCTCAGATCTATACAGTGCTGTATCCACAGTCCCTTTGACGCACATACTCTTCTACGCAGCATTTTGAATTTGCTGAAATATTTTCTTTGATTTATAAAATATTTTTCCTTCATTATTATGCCTTGAGTATAGAGTTTAAGAGAGCGCAAAGGTTTGTACAATAAAAATACAATCTAGTAAGGTGACTCTTGACCATCTACTATTTCTGTGTTTCTACCCCCTCTAGATCGGAAATAGTTCGCCTCAGTCAAGAAAAAAGATACATGTGTGACAAGTTGGAGAAGTTACAGAAGAGAAATGATGAACTGGAGGAACAGTGCATCCAACACGGGAGGGTTCATGAGACGATGCAGGAAAGGTAATGGGCGTCTACATTGCACACTGAGTGTAGCAGCATCACAGACAGGAGAGTTCCTGTGGAATAAGTGGACATTAGGATTGTTAAACTAACCAGCCGTATGCTCAGCACATAATACTTTCCTATAGTTTTGCTTTTGATACTTGGGGTGTTCTCATTACATGCAGAGAAAGGCACACATTCTCTTCCACTATTTTCTAAAGATAATAGGCTGGAATTACTATAGAACAGTGGAGGAACCACCCCCCTTTTGAGTATACATTGACAGTATCATAGCATAACAAGATTCAGACCTTTCCTCCTAGCTAGTAGGCTCTAATATATGTAAGATAAAGCATGCAGTAGCTGACGTAGAGCCTTTGTTGAGGCTGCACTATGCAGACACAGGCCTTTTAAGTAATGCTTCTCTAAGCAAGTCGGTCAGCATGTCTGAGCTTCCGTGTCTTTACCACATGCTGTTGCTGATGATGCTTTTATCACAAGATGGAGTAAGTCACTAGCTCATATTAGCCACCTCCTTGGGACCACCCGTGGTGTCACTCTCTTTTCTGGAGACGGAAACTCAGTTCACAGGGAGTAACGGGTTTGTTCAAAGTCACATACGGAACACATGGTAGGGTTCAAACTTAACTCTTGAGTGGTTGATTCCAAATTCCTTTTCCCTTTTGTGTAGTATTTGGTTGGCGTTTTATTTTGTTGTAATAAATATAGACCCCTTCTATGGATATACCATTTCTAAACTCTGGTCATAGGATTCCCCCCAAGATAAAATCTGTGTATTTTGTAGCAACAGTGAGTAGATTTCTGTAGACTTGGACTTGGGTACTGAACAGCTACCAGCTTTCTCGTGGAGATGTCTTCATGCCTTCCAAGCTTACATCTCTGCTCCGTCCTCCAGAGACCTGTGACTTCTCTTTTTCCATTGATATAATTAGGGGAAAGTGGAAATGTGTATCAATTGCACTTTCTTAAACTTAAGGTAAACAGCATTGGGGGAGATGGTGGTGCTATATGTTGATACCTTGACGATTTGCTTTAAGTAGAGGGGGACCAGCCCGAAGGAGGACTGCCTTCCCCTAACAGCATGTTACAGTACACATAGACCTGCAAGGAATTAGCCATTCTTTCGTTAACTCATGTGATATTTACTTAAACCCAGATACTCTTCTATGTTAGAGGTCAACAAACTTTTGTTTTTTTCATAAGGGTCCAAGGAGTAAATATTTTAGCCTTTACAAGCTGTGTGTGTGTGTGTGTGTGTGTGTGTGTGTGTGTGTGTGTGTGTGTGTGTGTACGCACACGCGCGCATGTGCGTCTTTTACACTGGCATATTGCTCTTCAATTCATAAACTGCACTCATGTTCACTGTGATGTGCCTTGAGGCAAACCTGGAAAGGAGCTGCTGTTGTCGTCGTCTCTTTCCAGATGGACACTAAGGCCTGGAGAGGGAAATGTGCCAACTGGGGGTCAGAGAGCAAATGAATGATTGGTCTCTTCAGCAAATACTTATTGATTACCACTATGTGTCATGTGCTACGAGGTATCCATCACGTGCTGAGAACAAAAGAGCAAAGCAGATACGACGGCACTCGCTCCCTCTGGTGGAGCTTGCGTGTTTCTAGGGAAACCGAACTTGGGAGCTAGGTCTAGGCTGGAGGAAGAACTATCCCTTGGTTTGTGGAGAATATTTGAAATCTTTAGGGATAAATGTATCTTTAGGATGAAGTAGTAAGAAGGAAGGAAGGGCCATTGACCCTCAAGAGCAGCCATACTTTCAAAAATAAGGTTAAAAACCAACAAAAGAGGTTGCCACACAGCAACCTGAGCAATGCGTGGGAAGGACTGCTGCTCATTCTGCTGATCAACCTGCCTTGGGTAGAGGAAGCATTCAAGCCGATGCCAGCCACACAGTAAGCCAGAAAACGTGTTAGCCTTGGTACCATGCGCATCACCAGTTAAGTCTGCAAGGGCAGTTGTTGGTGCAGAATAGGTGCAGATGGGAGATTAAAGTGAGTTGAAAGTTAGAGCAGTTTGAAAATCTGAAATAGCCATTTATCACTTTTTCATGAAATGAGATGCAAGGAAATACAGAAAGCCAGACCAGCCAGCTCACAGTGGGGCATGTACTGGGAGCATGCACGTTTTAGAGCAAAGAGGCTTTTGTCTTAAGTTGGAGTAGATGTAAATGCATTGAATATTGTTATTGTAAAGCTCAACAAAGTTTCAGTTTATAAGAAAGAAAATTAGATTTTTCCTCTGGAGTGAACATAGTTTTGAAACTTCATGTCAAAATAATGGCTGTTTTCTTCTCTGTTTTAAAATGAGTACCTAGTCACGTGTTCCTCCTGGAGAATAAGCAGGATGCAAGCCCCTTGGTATGCAGGAGGATCTAGGCAGTCAGTAGGGTTGTGCAGAAGGCTGTGCTCTCACATCTGGCCACACACTGTCTCCAGCCCCTGCAGACCTGACTGTGCTGTGAGGCCATCCTGTGCCGCTTTCTTTCTGGATAAGTGAGCAGTTTGTTTGAGCAGTGTGCGTAAAGCCTCAGAAGCTTCCGATTCTACAAGCTAATAATGAAGTTAAACTTGGTAATTCTGTAACCGAGGGGATCATCTGTGTGAAACCCCCACATTATGCTATGCTAATGGAAACTTTGTTCAAAAGCCACTGTTAAAAAATAGAAAATACAATATTGGATTTTATATAATGCAGCGTTTGATTTTGTAGAATTAAGACTATTCACAGTTTTCCAAGAAGTACTTAAAATCTAAACCTGAAATTATAATCTGTACTCCATCATTTTCAGACAAAAGAGGACTGCTATAAAAGTATCAGATTATATATTCAGAAAACAAGAATTCCAAAAAATGCAGCTATTTTAATTTGTTTGATTCTATAATATGAATTTAATTTCAATTTTGACATTTTAGGGTATGTTTTGGTGCTAAAATGTATTTTATATTATTGGCCAATCATGTCCTTTTCTTATATAATTAATCCATTAAGCAATATATATGAAATAGTGACATTATTTATGAAATAGGAAATTTTATTATAAATTTTCACATTTATGACTATTTTAAATAATTTTTTTTTTTTTACTTGAAAGTTCCCTGCTTGTGGTATCATGCCATAATGAGAGAATGTTTTAGCAACCCCTAGGAGAATTCTCAAAGCTGTGTTTCTGTGAAAAGGATTTGAGAGTCTAGAAAAATCTGAGGATGCTGAGGTAGGAAAAGAGGCAAGGTTGTGAGGGTTCTGAGAATAGACAGGTGTCAAAACACCAAGCATTAAGCAGGGATTAATCTTGGTCTGTGGGAGCTTCCTCCCCAACCCTGCAACTGCAGGACAGCCTGATGGCTTTACTGCTGTGGTGGGTTGAGGCCAGATCCATTTATTGTGTGGTTAGTGGGGATTGTGTCCATTCTGTACCTTGTTCACCAAGGGATTCATGGGTGTGATGGACCTACTGTGCTCACTACCGTGCTTACAGGTCATCTTCTGTACTTGGAGCGGGGTGCTAGTCAGCTCTCCGTCACTCTAACAAATGCCTAAAATAACCACTTTATAGGAAGAAATGGCATGGCTTGGGCTCAAAGTGTTAAAGGTTTCTGTCCCAAATCAGCTGTTGCTTCGGGCCTGTGGTGAGGCCACCACTTGACAAAGAAAGGCTGCTTACCCCATGGCGGGTCTTTTTAGTAAGCTTTTCATCATTGTGACAAGATGCTCAGAATACAATTTAAAGGAGAAAAGGCTTGCTTTGCCTCCTGTTTTTGGAGGCTTCAGTCTGTCTTTGGCTGGTTCCATTGCTTTGAGGACTGAGGTAAAGCTAAACAGCATGAGAGAGTATGGCTGAGCAGCAGAGAAGGCCAGAGCCTGAGGCAGAATGTAGCCTTCAAAGACATACGCCTCAGTGACCTATCCCTATAAAGAGGCCCCACGCCCAGGCAGTCTGTCGATGAGGTTTGTGCTCTGCTGGCCCTGTCACCTTGCCATAGCGCCACCAACCAGTCATTAAGCCTTCAACACATGAGATCTGAGAACCTTTCAGATCTAAATTATAACAATGAAGAAATGGAGATGGGAAGGAAAGGGAGACTGGGGGGCCACTGTCTTCTTCATGGGCATGACTCCTGTGACCTGAAGACCTCTCAGTAGACTCCACTTCATGGAATGCCAATCTGGGAATTGAGATTTTGAACACATATCCACGCAGAATAGAGAGTTGGGGCATTGTGAATCCGCGATGCTGCGTAGCCATGGCACAACTCACTGTCTCCTGTTAGGCCACTCTGAGCTGCTCCAAGGCCCCTATAAACCATAAAGGGGAGGTGAAATGGTTCCCCAGGGGACTGGCCTCCATTGGCCACCTGGGAAGGACAACCTGCTGTCTGTGACTTATATAAACCAAAAGTCTTAATGTTAAGTTTGGGGCACAAGGTTCAAAATATGTCCCTATCCCTGCAATCCTTTCTTGAGTTAGGCATTCTAATTTAGAGGAGTCATCACAAGTGCCCCTCACTGGGTGGTGATGAGCAGATGACAGAACCAAACTCTAGGTGTTTCTCATCAGTTCTTACACACTCTAGAAGACTTTCAAGAGAGTCCGAAATCCGGTTTTTGTAAGCCAAAACAGCTTACTGAGAATGCTACTTTGATATTCTACTGGTGATACCCTTGCCCTACAGACCTCCTGCGTTACAGCACATGCTCTGATCATTTGACCTGCTGTCATCCTTGGGAAGGACATTTAGGTACCACTCATTATCAAGGTTGTGCTGAGATCATTTTGGTTTTCATGTTTCTGTTCTTGCTTTTAATTAAAGATTTAGCTTTATTATAATAATTTGGTTTACTTTGGGTTGCTTTATTAAGCCATTGCAGTACAGCAATGTACACTTGGCCTCTCAGTGACTTATGTTTCAGTGCTGAGGACATGGCCACATGGGCAGAAAGCACATGCAACTCAGGAGTGAGAGCCTGAATTTGAACCCTCGAAC